ACTTAAACAGAATCCGAGTAATTCCTGGATCGTTCATATCCGACCAGATGTTTAGTTAATTCAACCAAACCTTTTTTTTCCGTGTGAGTATCTCAAGTTTCAAGTGACGGTCATCGACACGAGCTTATGGTTCGCGATCCCAATAACTGAGTGATTTTTCCTCCGAGACTCATAAGTTTCCGTGGTCATTATCCGCAATTGTCCGCTCCCTGGGTGACTTCTGTGATCGGCAGAGGGAATTGCACAAATGCGTAACGAAGGCAGGAGGACGTCGATTCCCCATGAAATATGCAGAGCATACGACCATACGCGGCGGCTGACGAAACTACCCCTTCTGCCCTCTTCGTACGTCATCGATCAAACTAAACAGGTCTTTATCTTCCTGCTCCTTCATTCCGCGCCGTCTTATCTGATGCTATGAAGATGCCCTTTGCGCGTCTGATAGCGGCCGTTAAATCGCGCCACGACTAAGTGTCCGATCGTGACTGGAAAGGCGCGCGTGAGGGTGAATTTTTCACAGAGGCGCCTCCATTTTCACCCCCGGTTCCCTTCTCTCTCTGTCATATTCTCTCCATCTCTCTCTTTCTCGCACTCTCTTCACCGTACGCCGCGTAGTGTTCGTGAGTCTCCAGGCGATAGATGCGACCGATAGAAGCGTGAAGAACATAGCCGCGGCAAATTTGCATTTTAAGCAAAGTCGTGGAGAATACCACCGAAACTTGCTCGAAGAATATCTAACGCGGCGCATGTGAAGTAGCTCTGCGGCTTACGAACGAGTAGACGTAAGTCATCTCGCTAAATTTTAATCAATCCACTAAGTACCTCGAAGGATCTCAGGTGGGCTTCACTTAAAAAGCTAAACCGTGCCTCAAAGACGCAGAGATAACAGCTTCTGAAAAATTTCCGTGACATCGGTCGGTCTCTCTCTCTCTCTGTCTCTGTCTCTCTGTCTCTCTGTCTCGCTACTTTCTTCCAATTGTTCCTTACGAACGTCGGATCAAAGCATCTGCTGCAAAAATATCACCGTCACTGCGCTGTTGCACGCCACCGGCATCTTTCGCTCGCAAACGATCAAGACGGGGACGTGTCTCAGGGAAGACGGCTTATTACTCGGTATTTTCGAGCTCCCGAGGGAGAGAAGGCGGCGCGATGTTATTCCGGCGACCGACGCTAAATCTCACGGCGAGTGGATTCGAGGATCGTCTGTTTGCTGTTGGCTGGGTGTTAGCGAGGGAGACTAGACGGTATGATGTGCGTGCCGTTGGATCTCCGATGCGAGGAGAGCCTCACGTGCCGCGGTACGTGAGGGATCTCCGCACGAAAAATCTGCACGACGCGAATATCAGCGTCGCGCGGTATCGTGCATACGAGACGAGACGAGAGGAACGACGAAAGGCTACAACGTCGCTAAAAGCGGAAGATTTCAATTTACTTCCTTTCTGTCGCAATTCCATCCACGTTTCTCGCATCGAATGGCTTCTCGGCATCGAGAAGTTGCCAATCGCGGGCAGAGATTTCTATCCGGCCGATTGCTTTTCTCGCTGTCGACACGACACGTCCTCTTTGGAAAAACGTAATACAGCTCCTCGTCTTATATGAGCGATATGGAAGCGGATCACAATGCCATTCTCTCTCTCCCTCTCTCTTTTGTCGAGAGAAAGAGAGAGAGAAAAGGAGAGGTAGTAGAGAGTCTTCCATCAGAGACAGGAGCTTATTATCTCACGTGGGTGGCTGCAGCTGCGTGGGACACGTTTGCAACGTGTACACGTGGGACGTTTTCGTCGCTGGAATATCGGAACCTGATATCACGAAGAGATCATGGCTCTTGCCTACGCTCGGCCATAATTAGATTAATTCGCAGTCGTGTCGAAATCAGACAGCGTGCTGATTTATCACGAGAATCGAACGCCTCGTATTCTCGAGAGAATTGTCCGAGATGTGAGTATGTGTGTGTTAAGGTATGTGTGGGATGATGCATTTAAGTTCCGAACAAAGAGAGAGAGAGAGAGAGAGAGAGAGAGAGAGAACAAGAGAAAGAGAGAGAAAGAGAATATATACGGTGAAAATGAAGGAAAAACAAACCCTCAGCTTTGCGTATCGGAACAAATGACTTCCTCGCGACTTGGAACTTGCTTCCAGAGCGTATCGACGAAAAAACGTCAGTTGCATTGTGTGCGCAAGCTGCTCGTGCCTAAATAATTCGAAGTTAGATCTGAAATTTTCAGTTAATATGTCTGTAATCGTAACTGAAAAACATTCAACTCCGAACTCAAATCTGAGTATCTCACTTAAGTAATCAGTTTCGAGTAACAACTATAAATGCGGACCTTAAAAGTGGCTCAATAAAAATATCGCTGAATGAATCAACGAAAGGAGTATTTCGCCGGTGATCAGTGAACATATACTGATTTTTGTGCAAACATTCCCACTTTATTGCTCCATCTTCTGATTTGCTATCTTACTGATTTTGTACAGTAGAAGTAACATTGCCCTGCAAAATCTGCAGTACCAACCGATTCTCTGCACGAGATCGAACTGTCTGTTCGTGGTGATGGAATTAACGGCTTCCGTGAAACTTGCGTGCAACGGCATTGTGTTTGCAAAGTGCATCAATAATGGTAACAATCACTACTATTAATCGATCCTTCCAACGAGATTTTGCTGATTGCAGTGCTCTCTTTGTAGCTGAGGCATCAGTTATAAATGCAGCATTTCAATGAAGAATACGCTAATTGTGCTCGAGAGAGTTGAAGATGTATTTGTTGTTATATTCGAGTCAAAATCTTGGCCTTACGTTAAACTTTGAATTCTATTACTATTATTAATACAACGCAGTAGGAACTAACCAGTAAATCTACCTAAAAATACACTCCGATTTCTTTCGAATTTGACACAAATGTAGAAGTACAAAAAATATTTACGTCATATTTTTTTATTTTGACTCACTTTGAGTTTCACGGACAGCTTATAGCTTTTTAATGTTCTCATTTCTATCATCAAGTACTACATAAATGCGTAAGAAATAAAATTGAATACAAGATATAGTTAAATAATTTTAACAAAATCGGCATAGCTGAGACACGGTTTTAAATTTCTTTAGCCGAAATTCCAACCAAAATATTTTGAATTTGTGCTAAATTATTAAAAAATGGTTCGGCCGAGAAATTATTTGTATAAATAATTTTTTTCAACTTTTTACATGTTTTGTTTAAACATTTTATTATTTATACAAATACTTTTATATGTTTGTCTTCATATTCATAATTAGCAAACGCCTATATCTTGTATTCAATTTTATTTCTTATACATTTTTGTTGCACTTGTTGATGATAGGAGTGAGAACATTAAAAAGCTATAAACTGTCCATGAAACTCAAAGTGGGTCAAAATGGAAAAATTTGACCTAAATATTTTTTGTATTTCTACATTTGTGCTAAATTAAAAAAAATCGGAGTGTATCTTTTTGGTAGGTTTACTTGTAAGTTAACAAAATAGATTTAATTCTAATAGTACTTTACTCCTACTTTGACTTTGATGATGTTCGAAATTTCCCTTTATATTTTCTTTACCATCGAAATAGGTGTTGGATGAAATCCTGAAAGTATCAAAATTTTAATTAAAATTGCTGGATTTCTCCCTCGGTTTAGCCGAGATTCGAACCATTTTTTACTAATGTAGCACAGGTTAAAAATATTTTGGTTGGAATCTCGGCTAAAGAAATTTAGAGTGGTTCGTGTCTCAGCTATGCCGATTTTATTAAAATTATTTAACTATATCTTGAATTCAATTTTATTTCTTATGTATTTTTGTTGTACTTGTTGATGATAGAAGTAAAAACATTAAAAAGCTATAAACTGCCCGTGAAACTCAAAATTCCGACTCGGCTAAATTAAATAGAATCAAAAAAGATTGATGTAGGTTTCAGAGCATCAAAATGGAACAGTAAACCTTTGTTCTGTCTCTACTGTATCGGTTTCACAGCTGAATATACGCCCTATTGCCTGCCGTACTGTTAGGTGTCCATTTGTTACAGCGAGATTTAGCACACACAGATTCTTGCTGCCGTAGTCGATTCCTTCCCCCGTGTATTCTACGGTAGTGCGATGCGTTCAGATAATGTTTCACCGCACGACAACGCGTTTACGATTACTCCGAGACTTCGTCGCGAGTGAAATCGCCGGTCTGGAGCAGCGCGATCGAAACAGATTGCAAATTAGAGGGCCGACACTCCGTCGCGGGCCGCGCGATAACGTGGCGGGAGAGATAGAGAGAAAGAGCACGTGGAGGGAGAAGTTACAGGGAGCTTCTGCTGAATATATACGGCCGCGAAATAAGAATTGCAAAGGCAGGCGGATCGGGCGCTGTAAATTTCTGCGCGGCAACGAGGCAGATAGCGGCGAGCAGCCGCCGTCTTGCGGGAATTCGAAAGTTTCCTCGCGTAGCCACCGCGACTACGACAAGTTGCGCGCGTAGCCCGACTGCTCCTCGATCAATATGATGCTGAACAATGTGCCCGTATATCAGCGCGCGAATGCACGACCTCCTTACGCGAACTGAAGCATCGACTTCGGGGCTGAAGTCGCGAGCGCGACTTCGCGCACTCGTGAAAATAATGTATCTCGCGACGTTTCCAATGATTAACGGCGGGATTGCGTCCCGCCTATAAATCTCGACGCAAAGCTCACGTCGCACCGCATCGATCGCCTATCGTGAGCCGTTCGCCAAATGGAAACCACGTCGTTTATCACAACGACGTTGTTAATAACAACAACATTCGCAAACTCGCCAAACAGCACTCTGCGACTTGTGTCTCATCCCAAGTAGAGCTTCTACTTTCTGCCGTGAGCCCTAAGATTAAGATAATTAAGAGAATTAAGAGAGTAATTAAGAGAAATGACGGGCGCGCGAACTCTCTCTCTCTCTCTCTCTCTCTCTCTCTCTCTTTCTCTCGTGGATCTGCAACACGCGAATAATCACGTCGATGTGCTCGTTCTGTTTCAGAGGTAAAAATGGAACTCGAGGACCTGATGTCCGACATAAAAAAAACTGCTAACAAAGTGAGAGCCAAGTTAAAGGGTAAGTTCAATTCGGCGGCTCGATAACGCCTGCGTCACATACCGCGTCACATGCCGCGACGCGCGTTCCAATCGTTCCGTTGTATCTCGTCCGATCGATCGATCCATCGGACGATCGATCGATCAGTCATCCGCCTACGCCATGTGCCACGACAGAACGAATGTTCTCTGTTTCTCGCGCTCAGTGATAGAGCAGAACATCGAGCAGGAAGAGCATACGAACAAATCGTCGGCGGACCTGAGGATACGCAAGACCCAGCACTCGACGTTGTCTAGGAAGTTCGTCGAGGTGATGACGGAGTACAATCGGACACAGACCGATTACAGGGAGCGGTGTAAGGGGAGAATACAACGACAGCTCGAGATCAGTGAGTATATGTGTCGCGATTGGCCGCATTCAGCCTGAATGCCCGTTCGAGTGGAACAGCCCTTTCCAATCTGTTGTTGCATCGAGAACGCCTGTCGCTTTCTGGACACACGTTCATCAGCGTAATGCTCGGCGCATGCCCTTCTTGCTTCCGAGTCGAGGAAATTTCGGGATAAAGAGAAATGCGGCATGATTTTCGTTACGCAGATTTTAATTCGCGCTTGCGAATGATCGCAAAGACGTCCGCGATTGCAAAACATTAATTTACGACGAGAGATTTTCTCTCCCGTGCATTTTCTAGGGAAATTTTTCACGCGTTTACAGAACGTGTAAAAATTATTATTCCGTGAGCTTGAACATCACGTTATGACGGTAGAATAGAATAGATTAATGATTACAGAAACGTGTGGAGTTCGCAATTGCAAAACGTCAATTCGCGAGAAATGTATTTCCTCTCGTATTTCCTACGGAAACGTTTCACATGCTGCACGAAAGTATTGTTCTGTAAGCTTTAGCAGCGCGTTATGACGGTAGGATACGGCAGATATTATAATAACGTACGGTGAACGTTTGTTGAACGTTAACGTGAACGTTAACGCAACGATAGCGGCGACTCGATAGCAAAGCCGATCGGAGCGCGATTGTTCGTCCGTTCTGCGAGAGACGAACGGGAATATTTTTGCTTTCAGCGGGTAGAACGACCACTAATGAGGAATTGGAGCAGATGTTGGAGCAAGGAAATCCGGCCGTCTTCACGCAAGGGGTACATCCTTAATGATCCTTCTCTCGCGTGTACTTGTACGCTCCGAGGAGAGCGGTTAATAATCGGCCTCGCGCTTCTCTTCTACCACTCCCAATTAATCTTACCGCTTCTCGCAGATCATCATGGAGACGCAACAAGCAAAACAGACCCTCGCGGACATCGAAGCGCGTCACGCTGACATCATTAAACTCGAAAACTCGATCAGGGAGCTCCACGATATGTTTATGGATATGGCCATGTTGGTCGAGAGTCAGGTAAGATCTCTCACTGCTTCATATCTCCTGGAGGAAAAAGAAAGAATAATTCTGTTCCTTTCAACGGACGATAATCGGTCTTCTTTCCGAAAGCGAAGATATACATCGCGGATCCAAGTGTCATTTTGGCTGAATCTCTTTTAATTACATGTTCCTCACGCGACTGAGTCACGTCGAAGAGAAAATCTCGAGGAAAAGAGAACGTCGAAGAGAAAATCTCGTGCAAAAAGAGCTTCAGCCGAGTTACACGCTTATGCGTGCAAACACTTGGATTTGCAGCGTCAGAATTTTCCGTAGTTCGCGGAACTTAATGAGAACGCGTAGAGAAAAAAATTCACATCGATCAATATGAATACAACTGATTTTATTCTGATGCTATTTATCGCCGCGATGCAATCTTTTTATCGTTTATCGCTCGATACACGCGAAAGCGCGTTATCCACTGCCGCAGGCTGTGGTTTACATTCGCGATTCTGCTCGTTCGCAAATAATAATGCGGATATTTTTGTTATTATGACGTATTTATTGATACGTTATTATTATTTCACGTATATATACATGTTTCGACACGGCATGGGAGCCTAATTGTAATAACTGTAATTAAAACCGCGTTACCGCGGGAATCGGATCAACTGTCATTGGGTTGCAATTGCAAACGCGGGCACATTGATTCTGCGGCAGTACATAACGTATATGACTTTTGCGTTGTCGCGTGCAATCCGCACGTGCATTCGACGAGAAGAAGGGGAGAGAGAGGGGGATTGGAGAGGGGCGAGAAATGCCCGCATAGATTCTCTTAGATACTCGAGAAGAGTCACACATTCGCGATCGCGGCTGCACCGAAGCTCTCGCGAAAATCGCATTCCTCGGGACGCAGATATATCCCGCGCGAATATCTCACACTTCGCGTTAACGGCTGGACTTTAGGGCGGACGAATGAAAAATTGATTCGCTCCCTTTTTATTTATCGCGTCGGAGAAAAATCGCCCGATTCGCGCGAGCCGTAGCGATCTTTACCTCGACCGTGGAACGTAAAGGCGTGGAAACGTCGTGGAAAATCAAGAAAATTCACTCGATTGCTCCCTCTCTCTCTCTCTCTCGCGCGCGCGCGCGCCGATGCACGTTTCAATTTTCCTCCAGAACTGTCGATTTGATTAACGATTGAGATGCTTTATTGGAAGATGCCCCCATCGTTCCTCGACAATTGGCCGAATGTAAGCGGCCGACTCGCAATTAAGTCGTCCTCGTTGCCGAGTTAATTGACATGATAATTTGAAGGGCACTTTCGTCCCGCGGTCAACCTTACTTTTGCACATTGATTGGCCGCGATCACTCCCGCGTAATGATGAGCGAAAACCAATTAGCAGCGTAGCGCGATGCAGTGAAACGATCCTCCCTCCCCTTACTTTCTTTGATCAATAATATTTCGATCCGAGTAACACGGAGCGCGCGTTTGCTGTCCGCTAATCGAAGGGAAATTCTTTCGATGTGACTGAGGTTTCGAGTTCACTCTGCGATGGAAAATTCTCTTTTACATGAAGAAAGCTGCTGGCAGCGAGATTTCGCGCGTGGTTAATTACATTTCGTTGTAACATGCACAGAAAAAGAAGTCTTGCGACTTCTAGTCGACAAATACACTTGGTTGAGCGTTTTAGTGCGGTATCTCAGTACAATTAGTCTCAAATATCATAATTATTACAAAATAATTAGCAAAACTAAAGTTATTTGATAGTATTTACGGAATTACTGAATTATATTCAACTTGTTTAGTTACATGTTTAGTTGAAACTACATCACCAAAGCATTTGATAACTATTATCCAATCTCGACGGTTATTTGCATATTTCTTCAGTATAACTTCCCTTTCCACTTTCTGTAGCGTCAAATAGGTGTTGAATGGAAGAGTAAGGCTGAAAGTAAGATTAAAATTTCGACTCGGGGATACCTGAAAGTTCAGTTGCCAGTAGGCGTGAATTTAGCTAGGAAACCAATGTAGTAACAACAGCAGCAAAAGTTTCAGTTACAGCGACAAGTAGGGGAGACCGAAGCTAGTTGGCGAGGTGGGTTAGTGGTTTGTTTTCTGGCAAGTTGCAGAATATTAAGCAAGCAAGATTCTTAAACATATCAGAGATGGCTTTGAAATTCCTGCTTGTTCGATTTCGAAATCTGTTAAAGAACTGTAAAAATAGTCGATTTTGTCAACTGGCTCCCCCTACAATTTTTAGCAAACCATGATTGATGCTACGTCAATGAGATCTTTTTTCTTATTGACTCAAGACCTCGGCGCATCGCGCTTTTTCCTTTGCATGATAGTAATAATGATAATAATAATAACAACAACAGTAATAATAATATTATCTAATAATAATATCTGTTTACGTGGCGGTAGCCGTTTATCCGGGCCGACTATCTCGTTTCGCACGACGAGGCAAAGTAATTACCGCGACGTTTCATTCCTGCCGCCGACACGGTATTTCTCTCCCTCTCGCGAAATCTCAACAATCTCGGATTATTAACTGAACTTTCGCGTAAAAGCCTCGATGTTGTTTGCCGACTGAAAATATTGAACCGCGCGACCTCCTATCGCGCGCTTGTTGTTCCGTTACATTGTAACGGGGAGAATTCATCGCGAGTTACTTCACGATTAAATACACTCGTGCAGTTTTCGCTCTTTCTCGTAAATCGCTTGTGTTTTTGAACGCCCCGCGTTACTCCACCGCTGTGTCGATGCTGCGGCGCGTTGTTTGTCGGCGGTCAATTACTTTCCTTGGTCGTACGTCTGCTCGTTCGTTCGCTCGTTCGTTGATGCCGGTGCAATGCCGGGACGACGGCTGGACGACGACGTTGTGCATGACACACGACAATTGCACGGCGACGTGATGGGCCTGGGACGATTCGGCCCGCGCCTCATTCTCGCGTACTAACCATGCTCTTTCTCTCTCTTCCCCTGTGTGTTACGCTGCGTTGGATTCGCGCCGCGCGCCTACCTTAGGGCGAGATGATAGATCGCATAGAGTACCACGTGGAACACGCGGTGGACTACGTGCAGACGGCCACGCAGGACACCAAAAAAGCACTCAAGTATCAAAGCAAAGCCCGACGGGTGAGTCCTCCCCAGATGTCACGCGCGAGACCATCGACATTTCGTTCGCGTCTAATTGGTCACTCTTTTTTTTTCTCCCTCCTCCACCTCCCATCCTCATCACACCACGACCGCACCTCACCTCGACCTGTCCGACTCTCGTGTCCCCTGTTACTTTGATCTTCACCCTCTCTCGTGTCCCTCCCGTGAGCCACCTTTTACTTGCGTTACTCGCTACTGATTACTCACCTCTGCTTTCATTGATACCTCGCTATTAATCGATGTATAATTGCTCCGTATCCCCACTCCACCAATCCATCCCTGATCCACGACGCGTAAGCAACTAACGATGACGCTTGGTGGGTTCTTGTTTTCCTTCCTTTTTCTGTTGTGTACATGCCACTCATATATTCTGTTGGTGGTTGGTATTTTCCGTGTTCGACGATCGGCGACAATCATAAACGGCGAATATACTTTAAATGTATATGTACCATACATATATATCATGACTATATACATATATACTGTTTGTCTGTGTGTGATGCGTGTAACTCTCTCTCACTCTCTATATATTTCTCTCTCTATACTCATATATATATATATATATATATATATACATATATATATATATATTATACACATATATATATATATATATATATATATATATATATATACACATACCTGTATAACCGCTCTCTCTGTCATTTGTCGAAACATGGGTGTGCTAATTGTGTCTCTGTCCGTGAACTGCTCTGTTTACTCATACTACTAATCTTGCGTACTAACCTATGCTGACGATACACTAACGGATCGCTGGTGTAACCTGTGACTGACTGTGTATATCGTATCGATGTATAAAAAAAACACACACACACATGCGACGTGGTGCGTGGTGCCGCGTTTACGCGCGCCGTTCGCGATCAACACGTCGCCGACGCCCGGGGATCTGCTGGCATTCTCCTGCGCCGGGGACCGCTTCTCTATCTACTGGCCGGCTATATGTAACTCCGGGTGCATCCGTTCCCCGAGGTTGTCCCCTCGACGAGCGACCTGGTCTCACCTGGACTCTCGTTCACCCCTTCGAACTCTTTCCTTTCTCTTTCTCTCTCTCTCTCCCGTCGAATCCCGTCCCAACTGGTTCCTCGTGCAAGTACGGCAGGGTGAAATGGTGGACTGCATTGAGTACTGCGTCAATCAGACCAGCGACCACGTGGGCCAAGCACGGGGCGAGCTGATCAAAGCCGAAGATTATCAGACCAAATCTCGTAAGGTAAAGGAAATCAGACACCCAAACAGGCAATGCACGGCCGGACAATCGCCGAGACTCGGACGAGATTTTCCGCTTCCCGTGTGATATTGCGCGAAGGTACTCGGGAAAGAGAGAATCTCTCGCGAGTCTCGGGTCGGTTCGGTCAATATGAACGCCGCTGGATCGCGATTACACGCTTGCGGAAAGTTTCTCCTCTCCTTTCATATTTTTTTTTTTTTTTTTTTTTTAATTAGCGAATATATGTTTTCCCCCTCTCTGCTGCTCGTCGGAGGCGTTAATCCCGACGAAACACGTAGAGCTTTTGCGTTGCGTCGAGCGAAATAATAATTCAGTTGGAATCTCCTCTCCATTGAAGAGAGGAAGGACGCGCGTGCGCGCGCGCGGTCTTTCCGAGTTGACTCAGAGGATTTACCGAACGCCTCTCTGAAGCACAGCCTGCGATAAGGAAGCTTCACCCGGTGGCGTTCATCAAAAGACGACATCGCGAATGAATGAAGCCCCGGTTGGAGCAAAAAGGAATAAGTGCCTATTCAGCATGCTACGGGATTCATTTGAAGTTTTATCAAGCGCGACGGCACACTTGAAAACATTATCGCGGAATAACATTCTTCTCGCATTGTTATCATTTTCATGCTCCGGCCGTACCTTCGTCGTAGAATTTCGACCTGCCACCACCATTGTGCCTCGTTTTCACTCGGGTTCGCTTCAATCGGAGATTCGCGTCCCGGTATTCCGCGCGAAATAAATGTTAAGAGTGGCAAAGCTCGTCGGAGCAAGCTAAAAAAGAACATCTGTTCGTGGAGTGTAAATTTTCGCGAGAACACAGACTGAGGACTTTCTCCAGCTGCAGGAGAGGTTGGGGTTGGTTGAATCGATATTCCGCGATGTTAACGTCAAATATCGCGATCAGAACGTGATGAACACGAGTGGGCAGACGCGTTGAAACGAGCGATTTAACCTCTCCAGTGTTGATTTATATTAATAGTTATTGCTTGAGATTTGTCTCAAACGAGATACTCAGAATTGGATGTGAAACTTTCAGCTGAATCACTATCGCAAGTATAAAACCTGTCATATGTTGTATGATTTCAATAAAAAAAGTCAAATCTCACTCTAAATTCAGACCTGAGTATTTCACGTGGGATAAGTTTCAAGTGATAACTATTAATGCGGGCCTAAAGTGACTGTGCGATTCCTTCCAAGGTGGGATTATTATTATTTTTTCTAATAAACTCATTTATACAGATTTCTTTTCTCTTTATTGTTATTTCCTTTGAAAATTTTCGAGCAATGGAACACACAGACACATCTAATTTTCATTTGTACTTGCTATGAGCTGAAAGAGAGTTTAAGTAAATCAAAACGAATGTGATATTATACCACGAAATTTTTTCGGGCATTTTATCCCACTCGAGAGGTTAAAAGGAAAAATTCCGTGCCACCGAGTCGGGCTTTGAAAGTGTCCAGATCGCTCTCGAGTCGCTGAAATTCCTTCTTGCTCCCGGAGCGACACCCTTCGTCTCTGATTACCACGTGCGATCAGGCTCGTCGTATCGAGCGGGATCCGTGATCCTTGTTTCTCGCGATTGACCTTTCAGCCCTGCGTCTAGAGCATTCCCGCAACAGTCGTCGCACTCGCGCTAATTCGTGTGTCACTGTGTCATGACCGCGATCGTACAAATGATCGTGGACACGCAAAGTCCGTCGTGGGATCGTGGGTAAAGGAGACGGAGATCGATGTCGATAGTGTGTAGAGCATTCGTAGACGAATGGTGTGCCGTGTTTTGTAGAAACCTGCACCGGCACGATGCAATGAAGTAGAATAGCGTCCGGCCATAACGCGCGTTGTTGTTGTGGTCGGATAGAGCGGTTTGGTGTTTGTGATTAACCGGTTTGTAAACGCACCCGCATTTTAGTGGTATGAGGAATGTGCTTGATTGTCTGACAATGAATTCACCCTTCCCGCCCAGAAAACTGTCGTCCACTCACAGCAGCGACGATTGTTTCTCTCTCTCTTGTTTTTGTCCTCTTTTTTTTTTTTAACGCAACGCACATTTTCGCACACCGCGCGAGCGATTCGACGTGAAAGTTCACTCGGCATGAAAATCCGCGCGGTTGCGAAACTCCGTCTCAAATTTTCGAACCTATCGTGTTTGTTTTCACGTCGGCTTATCAGATTTCCTTAAATCCGCGGATTTTCCAATCGAATTCGCTCGCGCGAACACATTCACTCGCTGTTCCGGTCTCATTCTGATCTAATTTCTGTAGATAATCACGATTCTTTCTCCGTTTCTCTCTCTCTCTCTCTCTCTCTCTCTCTCTCTCTTGTTCTGCCTCATTCCCATCGCTGTAAAATGTTTGCTTCCTGACTTCTCATTTAATCTCGGAGAATTCTCATTTCCCGACGAATCTTTTTATTTTCTTACGGAATGGAAACATTTTCAACGCACGCCGACGAGTATCTTTCCTTTCTCTCTTTTCTCTCCGACGAAAGTGCGTCACTTGTGCATTGCAACAGCGCACAGAGTCCGTATGCGAACGAACACACGCCTCTCGCACGCTTTTCCACCTCGGATCTTTCTCCCGCGAGCTTTCCAGTTTTGATTTCCGATCCACTGCACTCGCGTACAATCGGCAAGTCTCTTCGTATCTTTATCTTTCTCGTCGCCGAAAATATATTTTTCTCTTTCACTTTTCTGTTTTTCTTTTTTTTTTTCTTCCGTTGCCTTTCCGATTTCCCGAAGGTACGTATACGCGTGTCACCCTTCTCACAGGCACGCCGTGCAAAAGCATATTCGATACACCTTCACTCAATTTTTTTCTCTTTCTTTCTGTCACTTTGATTCTTAAGCCACGCGCGGCATCCTCGTCGACGAAGCGCGCGTACGTGTCTTACACGTGGTTCCCCCTCTGTTTTCTGTCCACAGAAAATGATCGTCATCACAATCTGCATCCTAATATCAGTGGTTGTGCTAATTTCCATAATAGTAGCATTCTTGCCGAAATCATCTTAACCGGCCAACGGGGCCGATTGTTGTGACGGAAGGGACGGGTGAGGGAGGGGGCGAAAGGGGGGGGGGGTGCTTGAAAAGGATCGATGGAGAAGACAGAGGGAGAACGGGATATCGAGTGCAACGGCAGCGAGAGAAATGTCATAATTATAATAATAACTACTACTGCTACAACAACAACAATGATAATAATAATAAAACGATAATAAAACGCAGAGACTTCTAGTCGCGATCGGGGAAAAATGATGCGTGGGATGCGAATGTGCAGTGTGATCAGAAGCTCCGTTGGGACACACGTGGAATTATGGTGGTGGTTGCCTACAAGAGCTTTGTGAGAATCCTACTAAAAAGTCGCACGTTTAACTGCTAAATCCAAAGGAAGAAAAGGGAAGAATGAATGAACGAATGAATGAATGAGTAAAATAATGCAAGTAATAAAACGGCTATTCCGCGTCGATCCTAATAACAGACACATACTCACACATACTCCGTCTCCGTAATCTTCGAGACAATTCTCCGACTAATCTCTTGTGACGTACCCACTAATTAACGCAATAACCCGCATTCATCCGCTCATTCGCTTCGTACTGAGTAAGTACACTTCATCACACCGCTCGACGTTCCTCCGGATTGTGTCTAATCATGAAACATCACGGTCGATTCACGCGAGCCTCGATCTCCGCGATTGCGGCTATATTGAGAGGAAAGAATCTCAAATTATAATTATTTTTCGCCCCAGCCATATTTATTGGTTGCTCTAATATGAAATTGTAGCAGCAACATGCATGCAAAGTTATTATCACTGATATTACGGTAGAATTTAATAAAAAGCATCACTTTAAAAGAGCGCCTCATCAGTTTTTACTCGCGCGATATCCGTAACCGCTGAAAACTGCGAGACACGGCCGTTTTCCGGAGGAAATTCGACTACACTACCGCGCGCTCGCAACTTATCATCGTGTCGCATATCGACGTGCCGCGTACCATTCGTCATCTTTCGTTTATATTTTCGCGAAGTCGCGAGACTTCCGCCTCATGCGGAATCACTCGGAGGATGATTCCACCTCTTCGTCCCCATTTTTACTCGCATTTTATCTCGTTAACTCCGGCGGCAGTTTCCATTTTCTTTTTCCTCGCTTTTTATTCTATTTTCTTGCTGTCGATTAAGTCATCAGTTGTGACACACATACAGTGTCCGAGATCTAAACTGCCATGTCAGCTTGAACGCTCATCCGGAAGTCTCGCGACTTCGATCGAATCGTGGATTCACTCTTTCGTTTCTTCTTTTGTTTCTTCAGACGGTCACGGATTTCTTTTGTTTTGCAGAAATTGTTCCTGATAGCGATCTGCGTGACGATAGTGGTCGTCATTCTAATTATTATTTTGGTAGTTAGCTTGAAATAGAATATGCGCGCGCGCAACGCGCTTACGCCGAGAAACGAACACACAAACACTCGCAGAGTATAAGGATTAACGGGAACGCAAACTGAAAAAGACAAACGAACAAGCCGGAATACACACAGAGAGAGAGAGAGAGAGAGAGAGAGACGCGAAGATACTTCCTTTGATCTCCTCTCGTCGAAGGACGGTCAGCCAGGATCGCGACGGAGATCAGCGATCTCCTCCGATCTCTCTCTCATGGGGGAGTTCTGATGAGAAAGAGAAACGCGCGACGTGTGTCGCGAGTTCCATAGTCGTCAAGATATACATATATCGCCTTCGGCACTTCCGCGAGTGTCGCGTTACATTTATTTATTATTGATGATTAATAAATTTTATGCGTCTTTTATTTATTATTGCTTCGTAACACAACACCGTCGATCGATCGCGCGCGCGCGCGCGCGCGGACGACGATCCGCGATGGTGATTAGACTGATTAAAGTCCGACTCGCGGCCGTCGTGACTCCTGGGGGAAGCCAGGAACGGTGACAGGACCACGCGGACACGCGCGCTGGACCTCGATTGCACCAAGTTGGCAAACGGCGAACGCGGGCTCTGCCCACTGCGCCTCAATATGCCATAGCCGATCCCCTTCTCTCGTTTTTATTCGAACGCACGCTGCCTTTTGTTATTTTCTGGCACTTCGCCGTTCCTGGTGACCGCAGGGCGAGGACGAAAAGCAAAGATCGCGACCGGTAACGCCGTCCGAGATTCATGCGCGACGACACCTTGGGGACCGAAAACGTGCGCCCTTTGCCGAATCCGAGTTTCGGGAGATGCTCGCCGGCGAAGCATGTCTCAGTTATGCGAGAGCGGATTGCAACGGGAAACGAGTTTCCGCTCCGTCCGTCTACCTTTGTCCTCGTCGACAATCGATTCGTCGTCGACAGAGGTATGCGAGACGAAGTGTCACGACAGACGCGGCGAAGAAAGAGAGTTGTTCTCAATCCGAGCGCAACCAGACTGAAAGACGCTCGTGGACGCTTCCGGTCCAGAGAGATCGACCTGCTCGCGACAGGAGCGAAGGAGGTCGGGCCGGCCTCTAGCATAGCTGGCGCTCTAGTCCAGTCTCTCTAGGCTTCCGCCTCGGCGCGACGCATCTCGCGACAGGTGCACGCTCTAATGAACAAATATCGATTCGCCCGACGAGCTCTAATCACCGTCGCAGTGCTGGCCGCGCGCGCGTTGTACGTGTAAATAAAATCGCAGACTGTATGGAGCGAGGACAATGATAACGAGGGGAAATGAGGAGAAATTGCGATAACGAGGAGGAAAGGAGATGAGAGGCGAGAGGAAGGAAGAAAGAGAGTATTAATAGTTAAGCGTTAGTAGGAATCTTTTTCTCTTGGGGTGTTGTTCAGCGTTTCAAGCAGCTCTTGGACAAGAGGAGGGCGGCGTCGCGTCGTCCGTCGTCCTCCCTTCTCCGTCACGTTTGTTGTTGTATACTTGCCGCCGAAAAAAAGAAAAAAAAAATATAGAAACACAGAAACAAATAATAATTGTACGTGAATGAGAGATATGCTGATCAAAAAACGAAGAGCGATCGGCCGGTGCCGAGATCACGCGAGATCAGTAAGAATTGTGGAGCCAGGACGGACCGCGATTCGCGTGACAAGTGCAAATTGGTAGAACTCTAGTGAAGTTGTGCAAGCCCGCGGAGAGACAGAGGGGCAGAGTAACATGGGACGAAGCGGGAGAACGCGTCCGGAGTCAGGGGGTGCGTCGTGGGAGCCGGATGGAAGAAGCCGAGGGAGAAAAATGCGGACTCGCTGATGGCGAGAAGATAACGCGCAGGTCAGTATCGCCGACCTTCCCGTCTGTGGCTGATCCTCGACTCCTGTCTTACCTGATCCTCCCCTCGTTGCGGCAAGAAGCATGAGATTTCGAGATGATTTATTTACCTGTACTTGTGCTCAACGAGCGCTTCTGAGCTGATTGACTGTACCGACGCATCGACTGATGCTTTTCTGATTCCATTCTGATCGTGTCTTTTACTATGCGTGCCAAAGAGCACTGATACAGCTTGAAATTCGTGTGAAACGCCCAATCGTTGACATTCCCCTAAGACGTTGACACTTTGGAGAAAACCTGGTTCATCACGTCAGTATCATTGTAAATGCCGTTCAATTTATTGCCTGCATTCAATGATTTTAAAGGAGCTAAAACTGAACATTTGGTCACAAGTTGCCATTTGGTCGCAGGGAAGACTAGACTTTTCCAGAAAATCAGACTAAGAAAAGAATCAATAATTGGATGTTTCACTCCTGCACACTGAAAGCAAAAGTATCTAATAGATAAAAAGTATTTATTCGATAAATACTGATATTTACTTGCAATGATATAAAATGTTTTTCAAATAAGAAAATGTGTATTTTTTTGAAATATTCCCTCAGCTTTTCATCAAAGCAATTGTTTATTCTCTATTAAAAAAAAATAATTTAGACAAATTGGTTATTGGTATCCATCGAATAAATGTTTTTTTTATTTTCTAGATTTTTTCTATTATTTTAATTTTAATTTTTTTTTATTTTTTATTCTTTTTCTCAAAACGTACATTGTCCATCTGCAATTAGTCAATCATCCGAATCGAAGCGTTGGTGCAACTCGGCTCTGGGCAACTCGCGAGTTTGTCCGTCGAGAACGTCCTCTCGACCGTGCAAACGCGATTTCCGCCGCTCGCAGGCACCCCGACACTGACGCGTAATTTTTTACGCAGGATCCATTGCAACCTTGTGCCGGCGCCAAGCAAGATCCGATTTCTTTCAGGTGCTCTCCCACGACACGATAGGTTGATAATAAAATAAACCTTTATAATGTAGCGTAATCGTTGCGGACAAAGGCGTCGAGCAGTGTGGGTTTTCTCGAGTTTCACAGGAAGAGAGCAGAAAGACGGTAGAGGGTGAGAGAATGAGAGTGACAGAGAGAAAGAGAGAGAGAGGGGGAGATAGAGAGAAAAAGAAATGGATAAGTAGATAGGTGAGAGAGTAGAGTTCAGGGGAGAGAGCGTTGTGAGTGAGATGTATATATGTATATAGAGACAAGAAAAGAGGAGCGAGAGCTTTGTAGCCGATTGTATTAAACACTTTTACCGGTCTGTTAATGCCGAATGCAGAAGAAGATCATGATCATGATTTGCCTCACCGTACTGGGCATCGTCGTCGCCACCACCATCGGTGGATACTTCGGACTGTGAACGCCAAAACCAGGTACGTGTGCGAGCGTAATGCTCACGCTTGACATCTAGTCGGATTGACTTTCGCCAAAAGCGCGTATCTACGTCGTGATGAGGACACAATACGCGCCGGGAGTAATCGCTTCGTTAACGTCGCGATTCTCTAACGAGCTCGCCGCGATTGCAATTCGCCACGTTCGCTGCCACGGCGAAATAACGTAGTATCGTGTGTGTCTTGCGAAGTGAAACCTGATCAGAGCGCAAAAATTCCCATTGGACGCGTATCTCCTGTTCGCCTGATAATTAACGCCGCGTATAAAAATGAACGCGAATGAGATTGCGCGCATCTGCGCGAGCAATAACGAGGCATTGTTATTCCGCCGAAAATTCATTCACGGACAGACATTTGCATCGTGCTGTTGCATGCTGAATTCCTGGAACGTTCCGTCGAATGGACCATTCGTCGAATCGATATTTCGTCGAACGGGATGAGCCGCTAAGCGGATGCCATTTAACGACTAACTGCAATTATAATAGTATAATAGTAATTATCGGCAGTAATGATGAATGAGGCGAGGAAGCAATTTGCAAAACACATTTGCACGTTGACTCCCGGCACTACATGATTAGCGCGCGAGATATACGGACTTTTTTATGCTGTCTGAAGATTTTTTTATCGTGAAACAGAACGAAGTTTCTCTCACTTTCTCAAGACCTCTGAGAAAGAACGAGAAATCACGAAATATCAATCTTTGCGATCTTTGTAGTTGCTCATCAAAGAAACTCTCTACTTTTTCGTTCAACAATTCTATATACACACGCTCTACAAAATGTACAACTTAAATCAAACATATCCTTAGGCAAGTAAGAGTTTAACGCAGCGTTAAACTCTTACTTTGACGGAGCGAATATTTAAATCAAATGTTGAGAGGATAATGTTTGATAGTCAACGTAGGAGTAGGTTTTTCAAACTTTAAAACATACGCGATGAATCAATCAAGCCTAAATCCCAATTTTTAATATTAATATAATTAACGCCTTAATTAAATCGAGAGATTATTCATTTTTTATTCCAAATTACGTTATTATCCCAAAATTTAGTACAATGTTTTTGGGTGTGCGATCAAGGCCTGGTTGCACCATCATTATTTTGACTTTAAGCGAAATTTAAACATATATCTATCTTTATCTTTCTTTCTAAATAAATAAAAACAGACGTATATTCAAATCTCGCTTAAAATAACGTTGGTGCATTGTTAAATCCGTAGTGTCAAATTATACTCAATTTGAGTTATTTTTAACCATTCCTATAAGTCACCACTACTCTTACTAAATATATCGTTAATTTAACTAATGTAATGGAATTAAATAATTTAACTTAAGAAATGTATTAAATTTGACTAAAATTTAGTTTATTTTTTATTATGTGCACGTTAATGTAACCTTTGCTTCAGTAAAAAATGACTTAATATTGTTTTAAATGGGTTGATTAGATGTGGTTGTTTTTTTAAACACATGTTTTGCGTTAAAATAGTAAATTTTGACACACATGATAGTTAAAAATAACTAAATATTATTTAACTGAAGAAATTGGTTTAAATTTGACCCTCCAATATTTAACAGTGTGCAACCGGGCCTAAACCCGACAGATCCTGATAGCGTACCGAGAGTCAACGAAATAATAATGAATCACGAGAATTGTTTCATCACATCGACGAGTACTTGGGGCCCGCTGCGATTTGTTCTATTGGACGAAATTTCCCCATGTCGACGAACGGTCCGTCATTTCTGCCACTCCACGCACTCGGACGATGATCTTTCTTTGTTCAGAGAAGTCCAAAGACATCAGCATCGTGTACCTAATTCCAAACCGCCGGCAGTATCAGCATTCACTCATATCGGCCCGATACGTGAAGCTGATCGCCGTCGGGACGAGAGGAGATCACTGTCGAAGGTGCCACCGGCGCGCTTTTACCATAACACCCGTCATCGCTAGAGCCTGCAGTCTATCACGCGCGCTTCCCAGCTCGACGCGAGAGAAACTCACGAGAGGAGAAATCGGAACACCATCGTCGTCATCGTCGACGTCGCCGTCGTCGTCATCGTGCTCGTCGTCATCGTCGTGGTCGTCGTCGCCGTTGTCGTCGTCGTTATGTTTGCGCCATCCTCGTCGGGAGTCTCCTCCGCGGTACCTAAGCTAGCGTTAGTTGCGTTCGACTCGACGTATGAGTAGAGAGGAGAGAGAAGATAGAGCATCCCCCTCGTTCTTTTGTAATCCACGTAGCTCAGTCGACAATTTCCCCGACAAATCAGCCTTCGTTAACCAAGTCTCAGCCTCGAGCCTGCCCCCGCTCGCTCTTGCCACTCAGCCCCACGTTAGCGCGCAGCTTAGACTGTAAGCTCTATTTGTGCGTGCGTTCTCGTCGGTCCTTCTTTCCTTTCCTTTCCCAGCCCGTCCACCTTTCCCGAATCACACGGCGAAGACGAGATAACGGACGACAAGCAAGGAGGACTTCGCGAGCGGGCCGGGCTGTATAAACGAGACGCTTGTTTAGAATGCGACTAGAACTGTCGACCGGAGATATGCGCCGTCGGGACGACGTCTCCGATCGGCACATCAGACAACGCGTCGTCTTATCGACAGGACGGCTGTCGACACGAGGACACTGCCGGTGTTTCCCCCCTTTACCTGCCCCGTCCTCATCATCATCATCATCATCATCATTGTCATTATCCTTCTTCTCACCCATCCATGTGCGTGTCACAAGGACGTGCACATTGTCATCGAGTCACCCTGACGAGACTCGCGTCTCGTCGCTAAACGCAACCCCTCTTCGCGGTGTTCACCCACCCAGGCCCACCTCGAGTCCCCGTCACACGAGCCTGATGACCCAATGGTGCTTTTCTGTGTAACGCGAAGGCGATCGGGAGCGTTTATGCCACATCACCCCCCGCGGCGCACATCCGCCTTCTTGCCGAAAGTAACGCACGCACCACGGTGCCGCCGCTCGAGCCGGGTTTCTTTGACTGTGATTTGCACACCGAGCTTGGGACGAGTCGCGCTTCCCTGTCACATTCTGAAAATCCGCGCCCAAAAGTCCGCGCGCGATCTCGCTCCGGTTATTATTATTATACGTACGATTAGACACGTCAGAAAGGAAGAGAGAGAGAGAGAAAGAGAGACAAACCGCTGTCCGAACACGCTAAATTCGCGACACACACACACACACATATACACATCACACGCACACACGCACGCATACGTGATACGTGAAATTGCAATTTCCGCTAGAGCGACCCCCGCGGGCGCGCGACACATCGCTGAATTAACGATACTAATTAGCAGTAGCGCTCGCGATAATTGTAATAAGCGAGATTTCCACTCGGTACACTCGTGCGCGGAGAACGTCCTGTGAGATCTCTTTCGTAAAAATCGAGGAAAGTCTAGGAGGAACTTAGCGGGTGAACCGTTGAGACGCGGTGCCGTGATCTGGCTGGCGGTGTTAACTTGAGAGTTACGTGAGCCAGTCGAAACGCTGATCAAGCGACACGCCGCTGATCCGGCCGCTACGAGTCCATCTCTTTGGCGCGCTGACATCCCCCAGCGGTTTACCCCTTGGCTATATACATATCACGCGACCTCGAGAGTAACGTTTTCGACACTATCCAACTACACCTCTCTCTGTATTCGGACGATCGCGATGGAGTCTCGGCCGGGCGAGAGCCCTTCCTTCAGGCGGGGTTTTCGAGCTGACCGGTGGCTGACCGATTGACGACGGTTGATTGATGACTGGCCGAACGTAAGTTTCTCTCAGGGTGAGGTCTTGCTGGAAACGAGCGGAACTCCAGACAGAACAGCACCGCGACCGGATCGTGGCTCATGAAGCAATATCTCCCTCTGTCTGGGACGGCGCGAGCGGACGAAGAAAAGGCAGTCGATACTTGTACAGGTAGATCGGAGGTCCTAGCTTCGTGTAATATTAATTAATATCGATCACATGCAAGGCTTACATTACGACTAGATTTTCCACCGTTATCCGCAGCCTACTTATCACCTAGTGAGTACGAGGTATCGCCCCGAGCGGATTTAGCCGAGCGAGAATAATGCAGGTCGGTGCACAACCGAGTTCTCGGAGAGTCACTTGATTATAATTTACGACGCGATGTTGAAGGCGATTATATCGACGTCGGAGCGATGTGACTTTTATAACGGGTACCTTTGATTATATAGCGCGCGAAAAGGGCGTTGTATACACGTAAAAAAACCACACACCACGTGCATCCACGTACACACGCACACACACATCTACACACGCGCACGCACGCACGCGCTCTGTATCTCGTTCGTTGTGTGATCATCGTAGCTCACTCGGAGAAGGTGTTACGACCAATAGGTGTTCAGTGTGAAAGGAACAATCAATTCTTCCGATATTTCTATTTAGCTGTAATTAGCGGAATCAATTGCGATATAGCGAGGTGTAGAGTCAAGGAAGCGGCCGTGTCTCCGCGCGGGCACGGCCGCGCGCCGTTCAGAATCTTCTTCCGCGTTGTTCGCGTCGCGCGACATTTTTGGAATGTGACCGAGAGAGCGACGAGACGAATGTTCAACGAGCACGTCATAAATTTAGGGTATAGGTTTTCATTGTACGGCATAAGTGCGCTATTAGGTTCTCGTCTCTTGCTTTTCGTACGTTCTCCATCTTACCTTCACGCGAGATGCTTTCACCGATGTTTCGCGTAGGTTCATTCGTCTTCAATTTCGTGTTGCACAAAACGCCATTAGGTATTGGGTATTACTAACAATAACGGATCCTCAACCGCGATTCTCTGCCTTGGACACGACAGTTGTTTCGCGCCTTCCGTTATCTCGACGAACCCTCGGCAAGCAGCGACAACCTTACGCTGTCTCTTCGAAGCGCCTTCGCTTCACGAGTGCACAATGACTTTCCTTTGTACCCCGCTCGTTTCTTCGCCGTTGATTGGCCCCCTGCATTGTTCGCGAAGCCGCGCAAACCAGAAAATTACTCGCTGATTGATCTCACTTTCTCGCTTGCTTCTGCTCTGTTTTTCTTTCCAGTTTAGCGCGTGGATCCGAAAGCCATTGTCGCGTCCGGCCAAGTGACTTCGGGTCGCCCTCCATTGTTTCGCGCGTAGGCGAAATTTCTTTCTTTTCCCTTTCACTTCGCCGTTTCACACGAGGGTTCTCGAAAATCGAGTATGCGAAAGGCGCACCACCTTCGAAACGGTTAACCCCAACAACGTGGACAAAGGAAGAGAGGGCATGATAAGTGGAAAGGAGCAACAGAGTATGAAAGGTGGAATGAATGTGTGAGAGGGAGAGAAAGTGTGCGAGTCTGAGAAACAGAAGAAACAGCCACTAAGGCTGCAGCAATAATATAAATATATATATAGGTGTTACGAAAAAAAAAAATATATATATATATATATAAAAGTAAAGATATCCCATTGGCGGCGAGCAAGAATGAGTTAAATGCGAGCGATATTGTATGTACACGGGCATGTATACATATATATACATATTAATATATACATATATATATATGTATGCATATGTAGGTAGATAGGTAGATGGCATGTATGGTCGAGGAGAGAATAACAATATTAATAACGACAATTATTATATCGGCAGCCTATATCGCTCCTCGACAGATTGAATAACCTGTATCGCACGGAGTACTGGCGGCGTTATATAATGTTAATGTTTTGTTGAGTATATATTATATTATTACGAACGTTGAGGTGCATACGCATTCAGAAGATTATGGGTTAGTGTTTAAGAGAGGAAAGAAGAGAGAGAGAGAGAGAGAGAGAGAGAGAGAGAGGGAGGAGAAAAGAGAAAGAGAGAGATAAACAGACAAGCGAAATAGCAGTGAATGATTTACGCATCGCACCGCAGTGTGCGTTGCTGTAATGATTAATATTAAAATACTAATAATAATAACGATGACTCTAAATATATATATATATATATACATATTAAGAGATCACCTTGCATTGTACAGAAAGCATAATAATTGTTAGTTTAGGTAGAACGAAACATTACTAATCTACTAATCTGATTATCCAGTACGACTAAGGTGGCTAAGATTCTGAACGCGTCATCCCCCTCTGTGACACGCGAGTTACGACGGTCGTCGATAGGGTATCACCCTTTGATCATCCGGCTAATTAATAAATTTCGTTGAGGAGAACGTCTCCGCTCGTCGAGAAACGTCGCGTTGCGCGTCGGAGTGATGAAGAGTACGAAAGGAAGAAATAGAAAGAAAGAGTAGCCTTTCGGCTATTCCGAGGAGAGATTTCATATTCGGAGCAGAAGCGACTGCAATCTCGCGTTACAGATGTCTCCAGGTGTCACCTCGCGAGTCGCGAGCGTTCTACCTCGTTTTACCGTTTGATTCGCATTAAATTTCTCGCAGAGCGCGATCTCACTACGTAGAATTCACGATCGCCTTACACTTTCGCCACGGACGACGCGCCGCGTTCGCGGATCTCCGTTCGCGACGAGCCCGACGAAAATTCGAAACGCTCTGCCGCGAAGATCCCCGACCGCGGCGCGGACCGCCGTCCGCGATTGGACGCAACCGCGAATCTCGTGACTTAGCTTCTCGTAGCGGACTCTTCGTGGTAGGAATTGAGAAGAATTGTGAGGAAACCAAGTGTCGTCAATTTCTTATCGCTAGATAATGAGAGAAAGGGAGAGAGTGTGAGAGAGAGAGAGAGATTTTAGACAAGTAACGTTCTAGTTTATTCGACACGCAGAAGCCTGTTGATCGTAAGTTAAACGAATCTGGCCTAAAGATGTAGGGAACGTCGCGTCTCCTCGTTAACTACCGATCGATCGATCGATCCATCCGCGACGTTCATCCCCGTCGTCGTGCGGCGACGTCGCGGCTGGACGTCCGGATGCGTCTTGATCGTCTCTCTGTCAATGTGGTCTCTTGGATGTCTTTACGTCGCTTTCGAGCCCGCACGTTTCAGTCCCCCGGGTCTTTCCCTCTGTTCCCCTTTGCGCGCTCGCGATTTCGTCGTCACATCGTCGTCATTTTGTCATAAGACGCAAGGAAGCACACACACAATGCCGGACGGTTAAGAGACAACGGCGAACTGCACATTCGGTCGCTCTGTCGCTCGTTAGGATCGCGTATCGGAGACATTGTCGGGTTTCAATACGCTCGTGTATCTTGCGCGAAAACGTCTCGCGTTTTCCCTCGCGAGTGTCTCAGACTTTTAGATAGCTAATTGCGGAAGCTGACCCGTCTTCCTTGATAAACCGTGCTCTCGTCGGCTCGAGCGTACGCTGCTCTTTTCGATCTCCTTCTTCCTCCTCCCCTCCCCCTCCACTCTGTTCCCCGCGAAGAAAAAGCAGCGATTTGAAAAGATGAAGATGAGAGAGAAAAGAGGAAAAGCGCAGCGAACGCGTCGAGGGACGAGAACCACAAAGAGAAACATAATGAGTGACAAAGTCGGACACACACAATATTCCCGTGTTCTCGATATATCGTATATTTACCCGCCCGCGATTAGCCGGAATATATCTCGCTGGAGTTCGAATAATGAAGTGGAGTGAGGGAGAAGAAAGAGAGAGAGAGAGAAATAAAAGGAGAAGCAGAAGGGACATCGTTAATCGTTGAATACGCTATTCCATTGCATTTGTACGTAGAGTAGAATAGAAAAATTGCGCAACGGATCGATCTGCGTAGGGATCTCTTCGGACACACGCGATCCGATTTTCGAATGTATAGATAAGTTCTAGAGATACACGTACAAGTACGAGAAGAGGGGAAAGTGGGAGCGGGAGGAAGAGGGGAACATGCGCGATCGAGTCCGCGAATACATGGATCGGTGTCATGTCGGTGCAATTATTAATACGAGTGGCCATTAATCAATAACCTTATAAGTGTCAATTCCACTTTTAAGTGTAAATCGTAATTTCGTGAGAGTTTTAAGAGAAAAGAATTAGAAAAGAAAGGAGCTAGAGAGAAAAAGGGGAAGGGAGACAGGTGTGATGTGGCGTCAAACGACAACTGGATAGAAGAGAATCTCAAATGGTTTAACGTAAAAAAAAAAATAAGGGTTGCGCGCGGATCTCGCCGACGCGCGACACAGTGAGATTACTGATAAACTTAATTTATCGAGATCGAGAAATAGAAAGAAAATACATTAGGAGAGAAAGGGAGCGATAGAGAGAGAGAAAGAGAGAGAGAGAGAGAGAGAGAGAGAGAGAGAGAGAGAAAGTATGTGTGCGCGCGTGTGTGTGCGTGTATGTGCGTGAGTGTGCGTGAGAAACAATGAAAGATGCATTGGAACAGAAAAGAAGAGAAAAAAAACGAAAAAAAAAAAGACAGAAACTAAACCGTAGCACAGGCAGAACGTAACAGAGATAACGGATACTTTTTATCGTAGGTATTTCATAGGTGAGATTCATAAAAATAATAATAATGATAATTAAAGAAAAAAAGAGATTAACGCATTTAACGAATACGAGAGTACTTACTGAGGGAAAAGTAAAAAAAAAAAAACATTCAACGGCGTTTTTCTCTGCCTATGCGTATTATTATCCGGCGTCTCGCGCCCACTTCTGCGTGTCGTCGTCGTCGTCGTCGTCGTCATGCGAGCGCTGTGCGTAATGCTCCGCGCGCGCGCGTGCGAGAAATTCTAATAATTGCCGAAGAAATAATAAGAGCCGGAAGATAAAGCCGAAGAATAACAGAGTGATAAAAAAGGAAAATAGCAGACGCGATGATTAACCAGGCATCCTTGCGTTCTTGTCTCTAACACGATTAAATACTATTACTACTGCTACTACTACTATTACTACTACTACAACTATTACTATTATTATTATCATCATTGACACTGTACAAAATTGGCAATAATCTTAAGAGGTCCCCCTTGAACACCCTCTCGTGTAATCGTTCGTTCGCTTGCTCGGGGACGAGCGAGGCGCAACGACTCCACCTCGTCGGCCCCGAACGAGCATTCCCATTCGGCCCTGTAGTTAAGATAGCCCCACGAGTCGGAGAGAGCGAGGCCGACGACACCCTAGGACCAACGCGAATGTCCAGGAGACACGTGAGAAACGTCCCGTTCGATTCGCGAGTGACGTAATCAACTCCGCGCTCACGTAATCCCGGTTTCGTCTCGACGCACGATGTTGTTCAGCGGAACCGCAGGATAGAAACGAACGAATTGCAAAGTAGAAAATGATTAAAAGTAGCAATGATTAAAGAGAAACAATGAGGCATAATGATGAATGACGGGAAGGCGCGAATTAGAGCCACGAGGCCGTCATCAATTTCTGCGCGACTCGTCGACTTCTTCGCGACGTCCCGATTTCGCTGAACGATTATGCGTCGCTCTTCTCGTGGACTCTTCTTACGAGTAGCCTCGTTCATCTCAGCCTCACCTGATGGATACGCACTCGAAATTGCATTAATTGTACACTTGCTCGTTTGATTCGCGGGCAAGCCTTTCTGTCGACGCGCGATCACTCGCGGATCGAACGATCTTTGTGTCCCCGTCAGGGAGAGAACACGTCGATTAATTTTGACTGTGATGCAAATAACTGTCGGTCTGAGACTAGCACCAAGGACTAAGAGTTGGAGAGGGACAAGGAATCGGTCAGATTACGCTCAAAGTTAAGCGGGTAAGATCGTCGGTCTGCGACCGACTTCTCCGCGGACTTTCGCGTTGCTCGTCCGGGTGTGACGATTAATTCTGCAAGTAGAGAGATGTAATACGTGATCAAGTGAATGTGCCCTTTCGTCGTGTAACTAAGCACAAAGAGAAAAAACCATCCCTCTGCGCAGTAGGCCTCTAGTCAGGCGTCCGGCGGTGACGTCTTGGCTGCCTTCGAGGGCATCCCTTCTCAGCGCGAAAGGATCTCGTCTCGCTGGCTGTGCGAATGAGAAGCAGGAGAGAGAGGCTCGCTTTCCGTTGCCCGCGGAGTGTGATCGCCTGCGAATAACTCGTCACTGTTAGCCGGGGCCAACGTCTTGGAACCGGCGTGTCCCCGGAGCGGCCAGCGAGAGGAGATCCGCTGCGACGTCCGCGACGTCGTCGAACGCAGTCAGAGCTATGCCGGGTCGCGTCACGAAAAGTAACGGGCAGACGAATAATAAGGGAGAAAAGAGGAAACGCGTTCATTCGACCAACGAGCACTCGGAGGCGGCGGCTCGCACCAGGAAAAGCAATCTCCGGCCTCGAGGTACGCGACTCTAGAGCGACGCGCTCTCAAACGATGCAACCGATGCGGCAAATGTAATATAAAAGAAATTTAGCAAACACATTTTCCTGGTAAACTGGAGCGGCGTCCGTCGCAAGAAACGCACGGCGTCTGAGGAATTGGCGTGGAAAATCGGACGTCCGTGGTGGCGGGATGTTGTCCCGCACGGACGTTTGTTGGCCGACGTGTAACTAATTGCCGCGAAAGAGTCCCCTGATTCTTAGACGGGGAGCGACCTCCTGCTCCTTCCGGCGCGAACCGCACGCATCCGCTCGTGTCGTACTCAAGAAACATCGACGATGTAAGAATAACGAGACTCTCGATATCCACGCTCATCCGCGAAAGCGACAAAAAGAGAGAAAAAAAAACAACAAACAGAGCGAGGGAAGGAGAAGCCAAGCGTTCATTGTACAATTATATTCTTTTACGTTATTAACGACTTACGATTGAGTAGTCGGGTAGCATATTTTGCATTACCGATAACAACAGTATAGCGTCACTTGTCTCTTAACCCTTAATTTTATATATCATTGGAGATAAGTATCCACAAGAATAAAGATTATAATCAGCACTGCAGTGGAGTTACTATACATCTGTAGATAAGCGGTCCGCAAGGAGAATTCAAAAAACCGACACGATGTTCAATGTACTTAATGATCTTCTCGAAGAGTGAAGAATATATGAATATATGGGAAAAAAATAAAAGGAAGAACGAGTCGCCGGAGTTCTTGAATCCTCTCACCGTCTCCTCCGATCCTTCCTCGGCGCAAACGCGAGAGGCCGAGCGCGACTCGCGACCATTAAGAATGACAGAACACGCTCTCATACTCTCACGAATAATTTACTCTTATATTTAATGCTTTGTGAAAGAGACATATCTCCGTTACACGTTCCGCAGGAAACGAGCTCGCTCTTGTCACTTAAGTAGTTTTACAATTACGTATAAATAATTGTCAAGCTAATTAAACGTAACGTACAATAGATTAAAAACAGTATGTGATCACAACTGCATATGATTCACGAAAGAACAGATATATGTACACACAATGCAAAACACATAAATGTCTGAGTTGCAAATTCTGGAAAAGTTGTACTGATGTCGCGCCGTTCGCCTAATATATTCCCGGGCAAAGATGCGAATCCATGAGATCTGTGACTAAATTAGATGGTGTCAACAGCGCGTCTTTGAACTGACCGTCCTTCGAGATTTGCTCCGGGCCGTTGAGGGCTTTCTTGCGTATAAACTGCGTCACCACCCCGGGATTCACGTAAGACATAGTCAGCTTACAGCCCCAGGACAGAAGTGCCAACGGCTACAACAGCGGAATGACCGTTGTTAGTCAAACTTGTGGAAATTAGTGCTATTGATTCAGATAGATATTCTCGCGGTTTCGCATACTACTCACATAGTCCTCGTTTAGATCACTGCACGGCGTGATAATATGTCGCCAAAGACACTGATTCACGAGATTCCTCAGGCGGTTTACCTCCAGCGGATTCGCGCACGGATGGTACAACATGACGATCGCTCCGTGCTGTTAACAGTGAGACAGTCAATACGGGCGAGAGTTCAAATTTACATATCCGATAAAGCAGTTTTTAGCGACCGTTTTACCTCGAGACTGTGCAGCCATCTCTGTTTGGGCAGGTACATGTACTCTCCGTAAACGGGCCATAAAGGTCTATGCGGGCCACTGCAAGCCACATTAATATTAGGAGAGTATAAAATGTTACTTCTAGCGTACATTTTGTAGCAGATCTATTTTCAACCAAAAAACATTCAAACTCACACCCAAAAACAGCAAAAAAATATACAATTTTAAATTCTCAAAAATCTCAATTTGCCATTTCACAAAAAACTTCAAAATCACCTAAATTTTACAAAAAAACTAAAATATTATATAAAATCTCCAAAAATTTCTGGCGCACTTCAAGTAGGGCAAAGATTTTCATTCCAAAACCTCTAAAAATCATACACAAACACCTCAAAATAAGAAGACATATTTCCCACATCAAAATTTAATGAAAACACTCCATCTCAGAATGGAAGAAAAACAACATAATCGATCTCTTATCGACTTCCTTATCTGTACATTATCGTTTTTCTTTTGAGTAAATTTTTTAAACCATTGAGTTAAGTGATTTAGTATTATTTATTTAATTTTAAGATGATTTTGTGTTTTTCTAAATCTTCCTATATATCTCTCCATTTTCTGAGATGGAGTATTTTGATTAAATTTTGATGTGTTAAATTTTGGGTGTTTTTAGTTGAAAATACGCTACCAGAAAAAGTGCGCTAGAAGCAACATTTTATACTTTACTAATATTATTAGAAACTATTCATATTGAAATAACTCTCATAACGAGAGAATATAATTTACTTACTACAGAGGTACATTATCGTCATATTCGATCGTTTCATTCATACATTTATGAGCAGCCTGCAAGATACTTTGATCAAAATTCAAGCTCAATTAATATAAAATAACATTGGTAGAATTGACAACAACGTTTTTACCCTGTATGCTTTTGGAATGTAATCGCAATAGATATGTGAAATCTTCTTGCTCGGCATGATATGATGACCATAACAAGTTTGCGCTGATACAGAATGATCCCAGTCAACAGTCAAGTTTGTCTGAAATCATGTTACTGTTAAACACAGTTTACATTCTCATTGAAGATACCTAACTTAGTTTAGCATTGTTGCATAGCAATATAGAATTTATATAGAAAATGACATTATCACCTTTGCATCATCACAGTCTGACGATATCTGGCCCATATACATGTTATGATGTCCTGCCATAGTTTCTTCATATTCTAGTCCATTGTGTGGATACACTTTAGGTGGTGGTGTTGGATCACCCAATCTCTCAGGCATCCAACGTCCAGTCCAATTCTCCAACTCATCCACATCTCTACGGTTCTCTTTGTTGTTCTCCAAATATGTTTGGTATATGTCCAACAGATTTAGATTTCTATTTTCATTCAATGTCCTCTGTTGCGCATCATTGTAATCATTGTAATCCCCTGCAGTGAAAATGGCAAGATAATAAAATTGTCATGATATAAAGTTATTGCAGAGGAAAGCAGGCAGACAATTAAATAATATAATTTTTCAAGAAAAGACATACAAGAAAGACTAGGTCGTATAAATCTTAAAATGCTGTGCTTTGCTCGAATAATTAATTCATCTTTATTTTCATAAGAATATAAGGAAATTCATAAGAAAATATCGTATGATTGTCACCCATGGAATTTAGGTTAGGAACACGAAAGGATGCGTGATGAGGTTACCAGAATTATGTTACGTTACCCTGAAACGCGTATCTGATCTGTCGTGTGTCCACAAAGCTCGCCGTCACGAAAATGCAAGTCAATAAGCCGAAGACCAGCCGGGTCATCGTGTTTTGACCGCAAAATATTTAGGTAAATATAACTTGGCAGAAACGTCAGACGTAGTAGTAACAGTCGCAGCAGATGGATCAGCTGACGTTTGTCATGCGCGCGACGCTCTCTCTCTCTTAGTACATGGTATAGAATTCTCAAGAAGACATATCCCCAACACCACTCCAGAGTTGCGTTCCAAAACGTCCTTTTTGAGAAAATTTTACTCGATATTCTATAGTATATGTAACGTGAAATATAGGTATTGAGTAAAATTTTCCTCAAAAAGAATGTCTTGAAATGAAACCCAAGTCAATATGAGAATAAAGATTAATCAACAAGGTTGTTTGGAAGAATGATAACGAGATATAAAGTCAAGGAAGATTCTAAGGCACGTTCCAAAAATCTCCAAACTTGTTCGAACACGTCTGGTCGTAACGGCGGCTAGGCCGAGGCTTAGGCCAACCCTTATAGAAATATCATACTAAGAATCATTGATAATTACTTATTATCCAGTATTTTTAATACTGAAAATAAGTAATTATCAATGATTCTTAATGTGATATTTTTATAAGGGAAGTTCCACGACATTCATTTAATTTTAACTACCAGTTAAGTCCCAATAATGATTGGTTGATTCTGATTAACTCTTCTTAATGTCAAATACGATTGGTCAAGTCCAATGGGATAACCAGCCAATTAAGTTAATTGGAGGTTGTGGAACTGAGCCTTAATGCGCGAGGCGCGAAGTAGCCGCCAGGTCGTCCCTCAATCGATAACTCTCGACGCGAGTTTCGAGACGCGAGGGAAAAATTTTAAAACGTGTGCCACTTACGAGTAACGGAACTGCGAGTAATTAATACACTTTAGTAAGCTCACATTTTCCGCCGTGCAACACATCCGCCAAATAAAGTCGACCTTTCCTCGCGTGCATACGACAAAATGATATTTGATTTCGCGCAAAATTATAAAAATTAATTACAATAAAAAAAACCAGCAAGGCGCCGGAGAACGAACAAACTCGGTAAACAAAATGTCGCTGAAAGAGCGACATTTATTGCAACAACATTCTGTTTTTTACATGTAATTTTTACATGTAGTTTTTAACGTTCCGTCCACATCATTGCGAATAATTTCGACGACTATTATATTTATAAGAGTCGTTGCTTGACTCCCAAGTGAGATACTCAAATTTGATTTCATTGTCAGATGTCGATCTAATGTCCTTTGTTTACTGGAGACTCGAGCTGAGTGGTTCAACTTTCTTTTCCACGCGATCGCTCGTGTCCGGAACTTGGTCGCGAATAACGCTTCGTCTCTCGTCATTAGCGCGGCGCAGCGTGTATTGTAATTTCATTAATTACCTCGACGGGGCTGCGGGCACCGTTTGATAGTCGTGCATTCACCCGCTTCCCGATTGTCCTCTATTTCCGGAAAGACCAGCGGGAGCGTGCGGGTCGCGTTCGTTTAATTATGTTTGCAATCTAATTAAATTAAATTCCGGGGATCTCTTCCCAACTAATACAGTCGAGAGCCGAAATATCAACGCCATTTAATTTCTCCTGGTGGGAGCCAAAAACGAGCGGGCCGGCGCACGTGTTGGCTTTAATTTTGTGATCGAATTGTCGCACACACACGACAGACGATATGTAATATCAAGAGTTTGTTCGTTAACGAGTTCCAACGCGAGCGGCGGTTTGAGCGCTTCTCCAAGCTCCTCGCACGACTCCCCTCTCGGGTGGTATTATTGATCGAGAGAACAATGTTGGTTAAACGTACGGTGAGAGACAAATTTCCCACCGCCGACGAATTACATCCCGCTCGATTTAAATCAGAGTTGATTTTCATTTCGCCGTGTTTCAGTCGCTTCATTCTCGAACGGTAGGATGAACGACGATCCGCGACTCACGGGGAATTCATATTGCGTGAAAAGCATAACGCACGTATCGCGCAAATGTTTTTACCAGCACGTAGCGAGAAATTTACAGAAAATCTCGGTCAAATCGGACAAAAAAACGTAGAATCAAGCCGAGAAGTTGAGAGGCAATTTTAATTTCGACACGCTGCTAGACGAAGTCGCGCGCTCCGTCATATATTAAAAAAGAAAAAAGAAACAATGAGCGTGCGTAAATATCTCTTTTTTCAGAATGCCGGTGCAACTCGTAGCCGACGCGAAAATTGCAGACTGTTGCGTGGGCGAAGTGCCGAGAATGTCGCTTAGATATTCACGAACGAGCGCCGAAATTGGACGGGAAAACATTCGCGTTAATGCAGCGCAGCCGAGAACGTTATACAAGCTGCCCGAGCTGATAACGCGTCACCGGTGCGTCTATAAATCTAATCGTTCGGTATTAATCGCCGCAGCTGCGTAATGGCGCCATTTCGCGAGCGAGCGAGCGAGCGAGACCTCATTTTCGAAAATCGCACGACCGTGAGAGGAAATGCGACTCGCCGCGACACCCACGATAACGCGGTTATCGTTGTTCAACTGCAATTGAAATCGCGCGGAAGGGCCTTGGCAGTCGCGCAGAAGCGAGTGACGACTTCTGTGCACGCGCTCAAAAGCGCTCGCAGGGCAGCGCGATGTATTAAGGGGATGCTGAAAACTTTACCGACAGAACACTGACATTTTAGACATTTAAGAACATTGCTCTACTTTCGCATCTGCATTTGAAAGCTTAAGAGGATGCTGAAGCTGAAAACTTTACCGATAGAACACTGACATTTTTCTGCAAACTTTACGTCGTCTTGGTTACACAGAATTACAAATGTTTTTACGCAATGAAAGTATGTGCAAAAATAAATATGAGCATTGTTCGATATGTGACGAGAACGAACAATAAATTTTTAATGTAAAATCTCAAGTAATGATGTAAGTTAGCATAATATTTACCTAATTCAAAAGTTCCACCGCTTGTACATACCGAAAGTATGGATGCTTCAAACAGAAATATTTTTAAGAACATTGCTCTACCTTCGCATTTGCATGTGAAAGCTTAAGAAAATGCTGAAGCTGAAAACTTTACTAACAGAACACTGACCTTTTCTTGCAAAATTTACGTCGTTTTGGTTACACAGAATTACAAATGTTTTTACGCAATGAAAGTACGTGCAAAAATAAGTAGGAGCATTGCTCGATATGTGACGAAAACGAACAAAAAATTTTTAATGTAAAATCTCAAGATGTAAGTTAGCATAATATTTGCCTAATCCAAAAGTTCCACCGCTTGTACATACCGAAAGTGTGGATGCTCCAAACAGAAATATTTTTAAGAACATTACTCTACCTTCGCATTTGCATTTGAAAGCTTAAGAAAATGCTGAAGCTGAAAACTTTACTAACAGAACACTGACATTTTCTTGCAAAATTTACGTCGTTTTGGTTACACAGAGTTACAAATGTTTTTACGCAATGAAAGTACGTGCAAAAATAAGTAGGAGCATTGCTCGATATGTGACGAGAACGAACAATAAATTTTTAATATAAAATCTCAAGATGTAAGTTAACATAATATTTGCCTAATCCGAAAATTTCGCAGCTTGTATGTATTGAAAGTGTGGATGCTCCAAATAGAAATATTTTTAAGAACATTGCTCTACCTTCGGATCTGCATTTGAAAGCTTAAGAGGATGCTGAAGCTGAAAACTTTACCGATAGAACACTTTTCTGCAAATTTTACGTCGTATTGGTTACACAGAATTACAAATGCTTTTATGCAATGAAAGTACGTGCAAAAATGAGTAGGAGCATTGCTCGATATGTGACGAGAACAATAAATTTTTAATGTAAAATCTCAAGATGTAAGTTAGCATAATATTTGCCTAATCCAAAAGTTCCACCGCTTGTACATACCGAAAGTGTGGATGCTCTAAATAGAAATATTTTTAAGAACATTGCTCTACCTTCACCTCTGCACTTTAGAATATTGAAAAAGTTTACAGAAAGATTTCTACACATATATGATTAGGTTTTCTATTGAATATAGTAAAATAAAGCAATACCCATTCATGTAAGTTCTATATATACGAGAAATAGGATAACGTCATTATGTTAGTGACGATCATCTCTGCATTATCGATATTGTTCAATCGTCAATCGTCAAAGAAACGATCGTCACTAACATAATGACGCTATCCTTTTCGTATTTCTTGTACATATATATAGAACTTACATGAATAGGTATTGCTTTGTTTTATTATATTCAACAGAAAACCTAATTATATATGTGTAGAAATCGTTCTGCAAACTTTTTCGATATTCTAAAGCTTCTAAGTGCAGATGTGAAGATGTTCTCAAAAATTTTTCTGTTTGGAGCATCCACACCTTCGGTTTGTACAAGCTGCGGAACTTTTGGATTAAGCAAATATTACGCAAATATTAAGCAAATATTACGCTAACTGACAGCTTGAAATGTTACATTAAAATTTTTTTATTCGTTTTCATCGCATATCGAGCAATGCTCCTATTTATTTTTGCACGTACTTTCGAGTTCGTCATCGACTCCAGCATCCCCTTAAGATCGCAAAGATTGTTATTTATCGAGAATACTGTGTTCGTAGGATATAAGATTTCGTTCATTTCTCATGTCGTGCCACGTAGGAGGTTACAGGACAGGATTCCGTCGGGAGCTCCGACGGGAGCGGAGAAGCGCGCGACGTCTCAGGATCGGAAACAGATCGTTGTTTATCGGAAGTATCGTTTGCGCGATACGAAATTTGATGTATTTCTTATGTCGAACCGTGTGAAAGATTACAAGACGGGATTCCGTCGGGAGCTCCGACGTGAATTATACGAATCATGTGTAGAACGAACCTCGTCCGAAATTTCGCCAATTCTCCAAGAGCGTTTGTAAGTGAATGGCCGATGTTGGATATGGGAGGGGAGTAAAAATTCAATTGGTCCCCGTGGGGACATGTATCCGGGCATGATACGAAAGAAGGCTTGGATAGAGGCGAAAGAAAAAACACAGGTCGGTCGAGCGATGATAGCGCTCGTGGGATGAAGTTACTAAAGTCGGTGCTTAACTCCAAGCACTTCCGATGTGCCACGTAGGAGCTGTTATACGAATCAGGCAGGGGGGTTTTCTTCTTCTTCTTCTACTTCTCAGCCTCCGGGAGGTTGCTGAACCCGC